TTTGTCTTGACATTTTTTCACTGCAAAATGCTTTAAATCTTATAGGTTCCTGCTCAAAGGGTCAGTAGTCGATATTTAAATTTTGTACCAGTCGTAGTAGAACAAAGCGGAAGAGGTGAACGAGCATACGATATTTACTCTCGTCTCTTAAAAGAACGGATTATTTGCCTAATGGGACCGGTATATATTAATATGTTCTTTTACAATATTTATAACATTTATAAAATAATTATAGTTACTGTCACTATAGAATTTATAACATTGTTTTATTTTGTAGATCACAGATGCTGTGTCTTCTGTTGTAATAGCTCAACTACTGTTTCTTCAATCGGAAAGTAGTAAAAACCCAATTCATATGTACATTAATTCACCTGGAGGCAGCGTAACAGCTGGTCTTGGTATATATGATACCATGCAATATGTTCTTCCTCCTGTTGCAACATGGTGTGTAGGGCAAGCATGTTCCATGGCAAGTTTATTGCTGGCTTCAGGAGCAAAAGGCATGCGTCATTCCTTACCTAATGCAAGAATTATGATACATCAGCCTTCAGGAGGAGTATCTGGTCAAGCTACAGACATACAAATACAGGCCCTAGAAATTCTGAAACTTAAAAAGCAAATAAACAATTTATATGTCAAGCATACAGGAATGGAGTTGGAGAAGATAGGTAGATAAAATATTGTGAGAATTTCTTTAGATAAATTTACTTAGTATGATATTATTTGCAGAAAGTTCTATGGAAAGGGATAATTTTATGGGTCCTGCTCAAGCAAAAGAATTTGGAATAATTGACAAGATATTAGCACATCCTATGCAGGAAGAAGAAGTTCAAGCAACAAATTTGGCAGAAACAAAAACTCTTGAAGCTACTACACAAGCTTAATGTTAGGATTGAGAAAAAGAGTCTTATTTAAAATTACGAAATTTTATTAAAACATATATTTATCAATATTTAAAGATAGTAATAAAATATTTTTAAAACAATTACAATCTATATCATATGTATATGTAACTGCACTACAGTACAGCCATTGTGCCCACATTTTGTGAACATTATGCACATATAAAATATGGAATGGTGACTTATATGCAACAACCACATGAGTTTATGTTACTATAACAAAATACTCAAATCACTTTGATACTATTTCTCTGGCAAGCACAATATATCACCAAGCGTTTGTATGTGATGCTATGATTATGAGAAAGACTGCATAAAGTAGTAATGGAAGACGAGAATTTGTATCAAAAATGTATGTATGTACAAATTATGAGTAATTTTGATTTGAAGATTGGCAGTTATTCGCTTAAAATATTCTTAAAAATACGTCATATTTCATTATCCCAATAACAGTCTATTATCACCAAAAAATACTTCATAAAAAGGACGGAATTGTTTACGTGTCTTGATGCTAGACAACGATAAAGCACTTCACAGTATAGCGACATTACATGTCAGTAAAAAACATATATTTCCCTAATACCAGCTGTTGAAAGACCAGTCTCGTATATGTTTTGTGAATCGCATAATTTTTCAATTAAAATTACTGAGGGCATACTTGAGCATGTGCAAGCATCAGTATGTCCTTTTTCTCTTTAGGAAATCTAAGTTCCCTTCCAGCTAAACGCGCTGTCTCGAGTTCTCTCTCAGCTAATGCCAATTCCATAGCAACAACACCACCACCACTTTCATGCTCTCTTGCTACCCAATCTAACGCCATTTGACTACGCATATCGTCATCCAACGCTCGGTGACTATAATGAGCGACTACTTCTTGTCTGCTACATTGTCTTTCCCTCATAGCCTTTAATGATCCATTCCAGTGAAGCAATTGAAAGACAGTCATTAATTCTTGAAATTCTAACATCGTTCTTCCACGATTACATTCTAGCATAAAACGAAATGCACCAATTCCAGTGTTTGGATCCTCCTTCTCATCTCCGCTTCCCTACAAACAAAAGTAATGTGAATGCTGTACTAGTATACTTCAATAAGCGAATGACATACTTGTGCCTGATTGCCAACTCCGTTGGATGTTGCAGACGGCTTCGCAAAGCTAGCTCTTGCTTCTGCAACAGCCTTTTCTATAAAGTCGTCTGTTATCTTTCTTGCAGGATGTTCATTGAAAACAGAATTCATTAAAGCAATTTTTGCTGCCGATCTACGAGCTTCTGCTTTAGTCGGACAATTTTGGAAACTACCAAAACAAGAACCACCAGGAAGAGTTACATAACAGACGTAAGGCGGGCTGGTACCAGGTACAGATTCGTATATAACTAATGCTCCGTTTCTAAGCTCTGTTCCTCTACTCTGTTTCATTTGCCAAAACTCTTGCAGAGCCTCTACTACATTAACTGTAAAAGTAATTGAAATATGTAGCTTGTAGAAGTATAAGTAGCCTTTTCAGTGGAAGAATTTTAAACGTACCTCTTCCGTAGCCTTGTGTATGTTTTGCAAAACTATTAACAACAGCATCTACAGCTTCCTTTAACACCTGTTTGTCCCTGGCATCTACCAGTCCACCTGTGATACCCATATTTTCAGGGACACGGGATTTTGTTTTAACTGGCATTATGCCCTGCATTACCTTTTACAAGCTCACGTACATTTACGTTCTACAAGTACAATTGCGACAAGGTCTACAATTAACACATCAAACTCTATGTGCAGTCTTGATAATATCCATAGATCACAAGCTGAGTAAATAAAAACTTAGTCTTAGAAAAAAAAAGATAGTGGTTGACAGTGTGCAGAAATTGGGTGTTCTTTCATAGTGTTCTACTAAAAATAAAGATTGCCTATGGAGTACCTTGCAAGACGGACATAAACAAAGCGCTGCAACGGTTCTTACGTGCGTAGCTAAAATTAGTGTGACAATATTAACGTGAACTGTCTTTTTCAAGTGTTCGGTCCGACAGACCCCGAATGCTCTGCTGACAACGAAATGGTGCAGCAATTGCTGCGACACCGAAGGCATCAGACGTGGGAAGAAACCCAGGAGGCCCACCTGCAGAGACCCGGATATCCAGGAATTCGCGTAAATTACTCTCCGATCGGCGAACCGAGCGCTGCAGGATCAAATTGCAAGATACATATAATGCGTTTAATGGCCCCGGCCTCGGACCGCTGACGATTTCCAGAAAACCAGGACTGTCACGGTTTCTCTGGCACCCCGTTCCATCGTCGAAGCTTACCAATTGAATGTGAACGATTTCTACCACAGACAGGGTCGGCTTATTTTCATGCGCAGACTTTACTTTTATTTCGATTTTCACCTTTTGTTCTATCATTCAAGATACTTGAAAAACCTGAAGCCTAAAAGGTTTTCATATTTTCTTTTATATGAAATCATGATTTGAGTCTAAATGTACATATTCACCCGATTTGAGGTTGATCGATCAAAATGGGAGTTCTCTCTTGTACCGTGATATTCAATGGAATATATAATATAAAAAATAATACCCGTGCGAAGCTGGCACACCATATTAATCAATATTAATGAAACATGGCTCAAAAAATTGCTCTTTACTTGCCTATAATTGCTCATCAATTAGTTCTAATTGCTCACTTATCCTTTACGAGAAATATCCGAAAAACTTTTTTGAGACGCCTAGGGACTTTTACGAGAGGTTATGTCAAGGCTATTTTAGGACTTTTGAAATGGAATGCAGTGTGATATAGTGTTACAAAGAATTTATAATAATAATTATAGTGTGTTGCGTATATAATGAACAGTAAGATGATTATAAATAAAGCTCAAAAAGCATAAATTAATTTGAAGTCAGTACGTAAAGGTGGATTCTGTAACAATACACTTGACGTCGCTATTAATCATCATTATTTGCATCATTCAAATATACGCGCCGTACGTATTTTCCCGAGCACTACCGAGCTTACAGCAAGGATGCAGCATGTACAAGGTTATGTCGGCTTAGTAAAAAAATATTTAGAGTAATAGGTCCTACTCCTGCGCAACTTTAGGCCGCAGCTTGATCTGTTAGTGAGGGTCCATATAGAAATTTTCTTAGCTCTGATTGGCTGGCGATTCAATGCTAAGACGAGATTCACTTCGGATTGGATGCGGTGAGGATGCTTACAAAAGCTAAGAGAGGTAATTGTACCTCAGATTTTGCACGATTTTTCCATCTCCCTTAGCATTTGTAAACATCCCTATCATTTTAGTGCGTTTTTTGGAATAAAAGAGATAAAAAAATGCCAGCTAAGTGCTGCATACCGATTTGTAAATTAGAAAAAGATAGTCCAGGATGTTCAAATTTAAGTTTTTATCGGTGAGTATTAAAATATTTTCTGAAGGTAGGTTACGTTTCTTGTATTAGATGTTGACTAATTTCTTGTTCTTCTCCTTTATTTCTACAGAATTCCTGCAGAACAAAAAACAAGAGAGAAATGGATACAAATATTAACAAATACTTTTAATATTGAATGTAAATGGTACACTCTTGTGTATGTAGCTTACACTTTGAAAAGGAATGTTTTTATTATAGTGGATTAAATAACTACAGAAAAATTAGAAAAGGATCTATTCCAACAATATTTCATGATCTTGAAGACGATGAACTGTAAGTATTACACGAAGTATAAAGCAACAAGAATTTAATTCACAAATATACTATTAATTATAATACAACCCATAGAGAGAGAGAGAGAGAGTGGAGAAAATGATGAAGAAAATATAGAATTCAAGGATGAAATAATAGATGTCTATGCAGAAAATGAAATACCAAAGTAAATTTAAGTGTAATGTTTTTTTGTTCGCAATATTGGAGTTCATTAGCACGAAGCTATTTATGTTTCCAGACAATCAAAAGTAGACCAGTTAAATATATCCAATGCAGAAGGTGAATTCAATATAACGATTGAAGAACATTTAGAGAGCAATGAATATGTTCATGAAGAAAGGTATAATATTATTTATACTATTTGTAGTGTTTTATTTTAAAGTAAATTTAAGTGCAATGTTTTTTTGTTTGCAATATTGGAGTTCATTAGCACGAAGCTATTTATTTTTCCAGACAATCACAAGTAGACCAGTTAAATATATCCAACGCAGAAGGTGAATTCAATATTAAGATTGAAGAACATTTGGAGAACAATGAATATGTTCATGAAGAAAGGTATAATATTATTTATACTATTTGTAGTGTTTTATTTTTATCAAATATATTTTTATTAATAGTTTTTGTTTGAACAGACAAACCAGTGGTATACCAGTGATACCATTTTACAAAACTCTGGCAAACTTGGATTTAGAAGCCTTAAATCTACATTATTCACCAAAAAGTTTTGCAAACATGAAAGATATGTTAAGGCGTGCAAAGGACGAAATTATAACTCTTCGTAGAAAAAACAAATGCATGCAGGTTAAATTATGTCGGTGGAAAAAACAAATAACAAGTCTCAAAACTTTGGCAAAAGAGAATTCGCGAACGAAACCTGGAACAATCGGTAAAGAAAAGGAAGCGGCCAGCATGCCGGTGTACATTAATATGAATAATAATAATGCTAAAATAAAAACGATGATTTAACTTTTTTATTTCTAATTTTTTTCCACAATTTGGTGATCACATACCACGATTCGACGGAGATTGGTCATATACCTTGTAGCTCCCCGAACAGACCATTTTGTGTTGCCTTCCAGGAATTCGAGTCAAAGGAGCCGCGTTGCATGCCGCATTACACGCTTGACCTATTCCGTCGAATCTTAGCATCGACGTAGCAATAGATTGCTTATAATGAATGTTAAAGCTGCTCAGACATGAAAGTGTCAGCGTTGCACTAAAATATTTAAAAAAACAACGGATACCTATAATTTGAGAACGTAGAGGACAGCAATATTTTGCTCCGACATTGATTGTGCATTTAATTTAAATTCAAGAATTAAATACTAGAAGGACAAATTAAAATGTGGTAGATTCATATAGGTACAGGGTCCTGAGACTTCTCTGTTCGATCCTGGATTAGAGTGAGGCAGGTTATACTGAATTTGAAACTGTCTCCTTCTACGAAGTGGTTTTATGGGTTTTATGCTCCACAGTAGTAGATGTCAGTAAATGCTGCCTCCAGATATATAGGGTGGGTAGTATAACCAAGCACGGGGTGATTTTACGTGACAAAATAAGAAGTAAAATTGATATAACTATTTTTTATCTGTGGTTCCATTTTCGAGAAAATCGACTTTAAAGTTTGTTCATCTTTGTGCAGGATTTTGTTGTCGACTATTCTTCTACCGTAGTTGTCTCCGTCCGAGATAGTGTTTGCCTCGTCTGTGATCACTACATCTTATGGACTTTCTGTTTTAGCTTTCGGGCGCTCTATAGCCTCTTTACCATTTTGTGTCGCGCTCAGCGTTACCGACAGTTCACTTTAGGCACGTTAGCAAGCAGCGAATATCTTGTACGTATATTTCATTTCTGCTACGAGTGCTGAATGTTATATGATGATATTAATATTATATGATTTAATTAATATTTAATTAATAAATAATAATATTAATATAATATAAATATAAATATTATATTATTATAAATATAAAATATTTAATTATATAAATAAATTTAAATAATTAATTTAATTTAATTAATTTAATATTTAATTAATATTATATGATTATATACGGCGCGAACATTTAAATGGTAGAAATAACATTTATGAACAGTTGAGCTATTATTTCTAATAATTATATAATTAGAGATGTCATGTAAGAATAATTTTATACATTTTTTTCTTGCAGATAGCACAGCGATAGCATTCCTTTTAGAAATTTGTATGTATCTTTCATTCTGTAATACAGTAGACTCTCTTATCTGAAGGTTTATTTTTGTGATATTTAATTATCTTAAAATTTCATTCAAGTTCTCTACTAGGCGATAATATATGTCTAGAGAATACAATGATCAGATAATATAATAATAAC